TTTGCAAGAAGCTTATACAAGATACAATTCTTTGTTAGTCAAACATAGGGGTTAGTATGATTTTGTCTTGTATTTCTTTGGTATTTATGGTCCTAATTCGGAACGTAGCGTCCTTTTGGGAAGAGTTGGCTTGGCTGTTTTACTTTGTAGAATGTGGTGATGTGATGAGGTGGAATTTCAATTTAATTAGATTCAGTTCAGAAAATCTACTGGCAGAAGAATCACTAGCAGCACGAGTGATTTTTATTCTTTCATCATAGAAATTAATTTATGAGATCCTTCATGGAGCTAGAATTCTCTTGGATTTATTTATTAACTTCATCTAATATAAACTTTGGGGAGATTTGAAAAGAATGTAATGATTCTTGCTATAACATACCCCATAGAGGACCTTTCTAGCATTTTGCAGGTTTTATGGACTTTTGTGTTGCTGAGTGTTGTATATTGTTTCAAGGATTGTAACAATTTCCAAATCTTGTCACGGATCGTGATCTACAGGTACCTTTATAGGGGTTTGTCTACAGGAGATCGCCCCACTTGTGACCAATGCCTGCGAATACATGATAAGCTGACTGAAAGAGCTGGTTTGGGATGCATACTCCGCTGCCTTGCAGACACGGTGAATACAGTTTGATCTTCATTACTCCTAAAATATAAACTTCTAAGGAATCACCTGCCCATGTTTTTGTTCTTATATGTATGACCAATGCAGATTATAGTTCACCATTGTAATTGTGAAATTTTCATTGACACTCTGTGCAGAAGCTTTCTACTTGTTCAAAATATTTTTTCCCTTTGGAAGTTTACTTGATATGATATCAATTATTTCTGTTTCATATTTCCTTGAGCACTTTTTTGATTCCTTAAATCTTCATGCTGCAAGCCACTTGCAAGTTCTTTCTTTTCCTTTTGGTCAGTTGCCGTCTGCAGTTACCCTCTAACAGAGGAAGAGAAACAAGTTACTGTCTGCAGTCTGCATTGAGGTCTTCACCTGTAAGTTTATTTTATTAACTGATTTGAAATGTTTATGAATTCCTAGATCATTGCAATAAGCGGTTTTAAGAAAAAGAGACATGAGAGAGTAATTTTGAACTGGGATGATGTGAGATTAGCCGCTATTTTAAGGACTTTTTCCAACATTGCTTGTGATTTTGCCTTCCTTGTGGTTGGTTGGGTTAATTTTCTTAAAGCAAGCTGGAACTCTTCATATAAGATACAAAAATCTTGTCTGCATTATGCATATTTAAGCTTTATCTCGAGCAAATCAGACGGTGGTAGAGAAATTTCTTCGTTATAAAAAATAAATAAACAATGTAGCTGATTCATAGATGCTCATCGAATATAGGGTTTACGTTAAGATGAACTATTGGGGAATGTTAAAAGAATAAGCATCTTGACAGCTGGTGTTTGTCACATTTGAGATTTTAGTTGAAACAATACTTGCGTAGAAATTCAAAGCTTGTACCTTTTCAGGATGCTTCGGTCTCCTAACAAACTTCATCTATGTTCCTAAATTAATATATCTTATTGTTATAAAATAATATCAATGCTCAACAGTTGTCTCTTAGGGAAACCAAATATATTATATATGAAAAATGATATTAGAAACCATTATTATAATTAAGATAAAGATCTTGCCAGCTTAGTCGATAGAGATCTAGTTGAAAGAATCTCACTATAGTCTAAAGAACTGAATCTGGGACTCCAAGATATATATATATTTTTTTTTAAAATGGGTTATATTCTAAATAATCAAATGGGCCCATCAATTTCTGAATATTAATAAATAGGGAAAACTTGGCTCAAAAAGGTTATCTTAAAGTTTTCCATTTTTGGAATTAATAACCTGTGCATTGTTTAAGACACCTCAATTCAATTATTCAGGTGTTGTCTATTTAGATTTGTTAATTTGTGTAGGGCGTATATTAAACTTATTAGAAAATTATCTTTGGGTGACCGAGCGGTTCGATAGAGATTTTTGGATGTATTATTCAAGAGGTCCTGAGTTCGAGTCCCTCCTTGGATGATAATAGGGGTAGTCACTGAAGCTCTTATCCAGTCGATAGTTTCAGGGTCTGAGGGATTATTTGAGGTGCATGTTGGATTGCATTAATTGGATAGTGAACTAGCTAACTTTTTATGCTAATATGAATCGAATAAATTCTTACAGTTCATAATTTAGAATAATATCGACTCCGTTTGTTTTCCTATTCTAAGACTATCTTATTCCACTATCATATCCTAAAAAATGAAAAATGTGTTTGTTTTTATATTCTTTTAAATCCAATCATATTCTATTCAACTTAAAATATTAACAATTACCTTTTTCAATAAAAGTTTTAAAATTATCAAAAACACCCACATCCACCTAAGCCACTATCACCTGCCAGCAGCTATCGTCGTCGTTGTTGCCATCATCGATCCTTGACGTCATAACGACACAAGACGGGCTAGATTTGGCCGGTTGTGTGTCGATAGCCGATCGTATACCATTCTAACGACTTTCGACCATCGTCCAACGATGGTAGCTGGCTGCTAGCAATTATTGGATGGGTGAGGGTATTTTTGTTAATTTTAAAACTTTTATTAGGAAAAATAATTGTTAAATATTTTGAGTTGAATTAAATTTTGAATAATATTAAAATAAACACTTTTATTTTTATTTTTTAAGATATGATAGTGGGATATGATAAGATGAAAATAGTGAAACGAAAGGACCCGACATAATAATTTCACTTTTCGAAAATCTATTGACCAGATCAATTGAATTATATTTTAAAATCCCAATTCGAACTCTTGGAAATGTGCTATCAGAATGGGATTGTTTAAATTGCATCAATCGATTTAAACGAATTAATTGAGACAAGAAACATAGTTGTGAATTCTTACAATCACAGGTATTTTCCTCCTCTTTTTATTTCCTTCTTTAATGGCTTCATTTGGCTTATTATTGGATATTTTTATAATAGTATTTTTAAAAAATATATTTGGATTATTTTTACGAAAAAGATAATTATTAATATTTTATAAGATAAATAAAATATAATAGAATTTTAAAAATATTAAAATAAATATATTTTTTTATTTAACTTGATTAAAAAACCATAATAGTATTTAAAAAAGTGCACTGAACGGAGTACTCGTACGCTATTGTTTAAGGAGTTATAATAGTGAATGACCCAATTTTGTGCCTTGCTTTTTGTTAAGGGCACATGGTTTGGTTGGATTAGGCAAGAACATGTGCACTTGTAGGCGTTCATTTAAAGATTTTATCTTGCTTTTACAGTTGACATTGATCTCTTTGGTTGCTTTGAGATGGGCCACAGTCTCTATTTCCAGTTGCTGACAGCTGATTTACGGAGGACTTGAGTGGGGTATCTAATATTCTCCACTCATTGTGGAATGTGGACGACCTGCATTTATTTATGCTCCTGCTAAAGTAAATTTGCTTTTACCTCTCTCTCTTTTGCTTTCTTGAGCCACCGCCACCGCCACCGCCACCTTCTTTAGCTCCTAAAAGCGTTTTCATTGAGAAAATGCCTAAATCAATGATACAGAGGGTAAAAGAGAAAGCAAAAGTTACTTTCAAAATATATTTTTTTTAGTGCGTTTGATTCTACTACCATCTTGTGATCATGTCTTCTTATTTTAAAATGTTATATACGTGGGGCGTTAATACACGTGTTTAAATTTGATCCTCTATTGTATTATCTAATTAATACTCTAGATTTACTTTTTCCACTGACTAGGATTGGGAATTTATGTGGTATGTACCAGTGTTTTAAAAACCTAGCCTAGCCCAGTCGATTAAACCCAAGATCCAGGGTCGAAGCCTTCATCGGGTCGGGTTACAAGTTTTCTTATTCATTGAAAACCCTAAAAATTAAGATATCAATCCGTGAACAATTGAATGTTGGAATATTAGAGCTTTTGAAAAGGAATGGTTGATGAGTGCAAGGGTGGTGACGACGATGATTTCCGATGAGTGAATTAATCGAAAATTACAAAATTATGTCGTTGGAAAAAGCCCACTGTTGCTGGCGATTGGGGTGGTGAACGAGGGAGGGGTGAAATGAGTTTTAGTTAGGAGACTGAAAAGAGTGTTGTTGTTGCTGCTGGAAACATGCTCTATTTGTCGATGCCGATAATAGTATTTGAGATGTTTTTACAAGATTTTAAACTTATAGACTTATTTAATTTTTAGGAGTATTTTGTTAGATTTCAAACTACTAGATACCGGTTTGATCTAGGACCGACCATTTTATCAGGTTTCACCTCGAGTTGGTTTTAAAACACTGGTATATACTGTTAAAATGGTGAATAATAGGCTTGGAAAGCTCTATAATACAGAGGAAAAGTCATAAATCTGTACCGACTCCTTTGTATTGAGACATTTCAGAGGAAAAGTCATAAATCTGTACCGACTCCTTTGTATTGAGACATTTCACACCACACGATGGCACCTGTTGCAGTCTATTTCTTTAATCTCTGAAATGTGATATCCTCTACATATGTAGCATCATGCTTTCATCATACCCCCATTAAAAAATATTAACAGTTTTCCCTGACGTTGTCAGGATCCAAGGCAAAATATGCATATAAAACGCAAAGAAAACGACACACATTTTACACAAACATTTCAAAGAAACTGTTCACACTCTGCTTAATAATTTATAGACTCCTCATTTTCTTGAGAAATGAGAAGAGTTTGAATACTTTTTTCCATGTGAGCTTCTTTGCTTTCACTCGTCTTGTGATGAATCTGAAAACTGTTTTCCTTTTTTTCAAACTATTATTTAATATCAGAAGTGTTACTGTCAACATCTTCTTTTTATGATCTCCACCTTCACCCAAAATGCGACAAAACTTCCCCTTTAACTTCAAGATGAAGGGATCATATCATCAAACAACTAATCTAATTTAATTGTAATTATACAACTTTCTATATCTCATTTACTTATAATAAATCTTTTCAATACAAATTATTTTTTTCTTTTTCTTAAAACACAAGTCATAGTATTCACTGAGATTCTGACTCTAAGACCTCGGTTTTCCACCATAAGCTTGTTTACAAACAGAGTAAGATTTCTGAGAAGGATTACAGAGCTGAGAAGAACCTGGACATCCATGGAGACAATTATCCCCCAAGCTACCGGAAACCTCCACGTCACCGGAGAAGAACCCCGTTGGTGGTTTTCCGATCAAGAAATTCCCATCCAGGAACAATCTCCTCAACGACTTCTTTTGACTGTATTGCATTGGGATGGTGCCACGTAAGCGGTTGTATCGCATTGTCAGAGACGATAAAAGCGGATAATCAGCCAAATTTTCGGGCAAGTACCCTTCGATTTTGTTGAACCCGAGATCAACTGCCACTAAGTCGCTGCTACCATTCAAAGGCTTCGCGATCTCCACACCTGTCAACTTGTTATTCGCCAAGTTCACCTGTTGAACTGACGGTAGAAGAAAGAACCAAGCTTTAAGTGTCCCGGTGAATGAGTTTTCACTGAGTTCAACTACTTCTAGCTGAGACAAACCGTCAAAGGGTGTTTTTGAGATAACCCCAGATAAAGAATTGTTCTTCAGAGCAAGTTCTAGTAGATTGTAAGGTAGTTTTGGTAATGAACCGGTGAGTTTGTTGTAACTCAGATCAAGTCTTCTCAAACTTGATATTAAATATGAACCTTTAGGGAGATACCCAGATAGAGAATTGTGTGAAACATCTAAAGCGTCAAGCTTTTTGAGCTTGGTTATGGAGTCAGGGACGGAACCGGAGAAGGAGTTGGATCGGAGAGTCAAGGTTTGAAGATTGGAAAGAGAGGAGATTGAAGCTGGAATAGGACCGAAGAAATTGTTATCAGCGAGGTCGAGAATAAGGAGTTGAGTGAGTTGAGAAATGAGAGGGGTGAGTTGGCCGGAGTAGCCGGTGGGATCAAGAGTGAGTTGGGTGACACGAGTGGAGTCGGAAGAGCAGGTAAGGCCGCAAATGAAGTGGGTGCGACGGGGGAGAGCACATGGGTCGGTGGAGAAGTCCCAGGAGGCTAAGCAGGACCACGGCGGTATTGAAGTCGGCTTGATGGCGACCTTGAAAGCTTTGAGAGCTGAGATGTCTTGTGAGGAAGTGATGGCTTGAGATGAAAAGAATTGCAGAAGAAGAAGGGAGAGAGAGATTAAGATGGAAGAAGTTTGCATTTTGATTTGATTTTTTAAAAGTTTTGGTAGGTTTGGAGAGTTTAGTTTGGATTTTAATGGGTTTTTTGTTTTGTGTACTGTAGAGAGAAGGTGTGAAATCAGAAATGGGACTTTGATTTGGGTTTGGGTTTGGGTTTGGGGATTTTATACACTTATTTAAGGTCGGACAGTCGAAATGATAAGTTGATATCCAAAAGTTTTGAAATAATAAATAGATACCTTCTATCATATTCTATTAGTGATTTTCGTTTGATAATAGTGAAAAGACTAAAATGCCCTTGAAAGTTTAATATTTTAGTTTTTTATAAATTTAAAAATTTCTAAAAAACTCTCTAAGTTTGCTAATTTGACTAAATACCCTAATATATAAAAATTTTATAAAATAACAAAAATACCTCCGCCACCTACAGTGCTAAATCCTAGCAACCACCGTCGGAATCTAGCCGAAAAATTGGGTTACGACACAGACCCGTCGTATCTGTGTTGTAACGCGTAGATCTGACATTTTTCGTCAAGATCTGTGGCTGATCTGGCCGGAAAAAGCCAGATCTACGGCTAGATCTGGCCGAAAAATTGTGTTACAACACAGACCCGTCGGATCTGTGTCGTAACACGTCGATCTAGCATTTTCCGGCCAGATCTACGGCCAGATCTGACCGTCAAGGCAGAAAAAGGCCAAATCGACGCGTTATGACACAGATCCGACGGGTCTGTGTCGTAACACAATTTTTCGGCCAGATTCCGGTGGTGGTAGCCGAAATCTGGCACTGCGGGTGGCGGGGGTGTTTTTGTTATTGTATAAAATTTTTATATATTGAGGTATTTAGTCAAATTAGCAAACCTAGGCGGTTTTTTAGAAATTTTTAAAATTATAAAAAGCTAAAATACTAAACTTTCAAGGGCATTTTAGTCTTTTCACTATTATCAAACGAAAATCACTAACAGAACATGACAGAAGGTACCTATTTATCGTTTCAAAACCTTTTGAGTACCAACTTGTTATTTCGACAAACCTTGGGTATGTGTAAGTCGTTCTGGCTTTATTTAATAATGTTTTTGGGTATTTAAAAAGTTAGGGTTTGGTTGATCTATTCGTCTATGTACATTATATATAAATAAGATATTTATTTAAGGGATGTCCTAATGCATGTCTCTTCATTTTGGTTGATTGAATTAATGTCACCATATAAGTTTAGCCTAATGCATTGTTTTGGTCACGGATCTTTTATAGTTTTATTTTTCTTACTATTATTTTTTATTCAACATAATTAATCAAGTATTTTCTAAATATTAGAAAACATATTATAGATATTAAAGGATATCAAATACAATACTAGGGAAGCTATAAATTATTTAATTAAGAGTATTGGAGTTTATGTATTGATGGATTTGGTATAACAAGAGCATAACATAAACATAAACAACGCTCAAAATCATTCAATTTGTTTAAGTTGATTAATCTAATCTAAATACAATAATTTTGATGAATTTATTGTATTTATATGTTGAAAGGAATCTATTTGGTTTGATTGATAGGTTATGTTATTATTATAATTGTATAGCTAAATAAATTATCTAATTTAAAGCAATCTTAGTAAGATAATTGATATAATTATACCAACAGGCTATATATATATACATGGAATAATTCTATAAATAAGATAATGAAATATAAACTTAGTATCTCAAGGAGTTGGTCTAGCTGTTAAAGAGATTTGTTTTGTTTATTGAGTTTTGGGTGTCATTTATCACATTGTGACTTATCTGGTCTTCTGGGTTTGTAGAATATTTTATGGACCACGAAAATTAATTGAGATACACGCAAGTTAGTCCGAATATCTCGATTACCAAAAAGGTGAGCACAAGTTGTTTCGAACACTCCGATTATCAAAAATGTGTATTCCGAACATTTCGGTTACCAAAAATATGCATAGAAGTTGATTCAAACATCCTATTAGCAATATATATATGAAAAATACTACACATACATCATTCCCATACAACATTTCTCATACAACATTATGTGGTAAGATATGATTGGATGAAAGTTTAATTTTAACTTTAAATTAACCAATCATATCTTGTCATATAATATTGTATAAGAAATATTGTATGAAAATGATGTATGAGTAATGTTATATATATATATATATATATATAGACTTAAGTATAATATTCATATTATAACAGGCGAATTAAATTAAAAAAATAAACTGTATTCAAAATCATGGTGATGCGTGAGTTGCAGAGTATTTGTTTATTTATATATGGGACATTAATTGAGGCATGAGTGACTCAGTTTTTTAAGAATGATTGGCAGATTGAAGATCATTGTTTGCAGGATACATATATATAACGTATTTGAAATATTACCTAAACATATGATTAGTATATCATATTAATTACTGCAAATTAACAACTGTCGCAATTAGCAAATACAACCGGGAAGCTAGCTGTCTTTTTCTAATCCTCTTTGTATTTAATTTCCTATTCATACTCTTTTCAATATAAAATTAGAACTTTATCATTAAAAATGTTCTTTAAAAAGCCTTACACACATTTTTCGGAATATTAAAATCAATTTTTGTTTAAATAACGTTTTGTGATGTTCCAAAATGGGGTCACCCAATATAGTGTTTTATTCCTTTTTTTTTTTTTTTTTTTAATAATCAGAGGTGTCTAGATCAGTTTACGCGTGTTTCAACTGATCTGTCGAGACCCTAGAACTACTGATCGGGTAAAAGTTTCGATGGCTACCCCTAATAACAACAAAGAAAGAACTTAAATTTATGACCTCATGAATAATACATCTAAGAATCTCTATTGAATCATTTATAGGTAGTTTTTCTTTGTTTTTATTGCATAATTTTTCTTACTTTTGTTTTTAAATTTTTGTGCAATAAAATGAAAACAATAGGCAATAATTTAACAACAGAGTGGTGCTACGCCACATCCTTCTGTTTGGAAATCAACCATAAACAAACTTTTTCATAAAAGTGTAAGATGTAAAGTGGAGAAGATAAAGAGTTGATAATTTTTCACAACTTCATGCCCCACTACTACTGTCTCCACTACTTGATACTTTAGCTTCAACCACAAGGTTTGAATTTGAGGTTCTCTTTTTCTTTAATCTCATTATCACGGCTTGTTATACACACACAAAACTACAACCACCTCCACATTCATTCATTAATCATTATTCTTTTTCCATACACCATAATAACTATATATTTGTACAATTTTCATCTATCGTTTTCTTAATTTCGACATATTATTGTTTTTGTATGCATGTGTTTGTTCTATGATTAATTACATTATTAATGTATAAATAAACCAAGATTTTAAAACTTGGCCCGGGGTAAAACTCGGCAAAGTGGTAGAGTCTCAGGTTGAACGGTTTGGTCGGGAAGTCAAACCAGCGTCATTAACATGTCTAAAGGTTTGAATTCAGCAAACACAGCCCTCAAAATTACACATCAATCTATATAGTTTTAAAATCTAACAAACACAGCCCAAATGCAACCACTAGTGTTGACAACCCTGGCCAAATAGGGTTTGTTTTTGGCATAAAAAACACTCCCCATCACCACAAAAACACTCTCCTTAGCCTTTTGACCAAAACCCATCTCACCCCACCCACGTTTGCCTCGTCAATCATTGACAACAACCCGTTGTTACTGCCACGCGATTTTTACGATTTCCAGTCGTTTCACTCATTGGAAATCACCTTTATCGCCAATTTTCGACTAAGTGGCCCTTCTTCTTCAAAAGCTCCAACATCCCAACCACCAATTACTCGCCAATTGCCGTCTATAAATCTAGAGTTTGCTTTAATAAGTTGTGAACAGTTGACATTGTGAACCCGGGGTCCTTGTTAGACCGATCGAGTCGGTTTTTAAAACCTTGAATAAACTTTTTTTTACGCCTTCAAATATTTTTATTTTCTCAAAACAAATAACTTAATAATAAGATAATGATTACGCGTGTGCTAATCAACATAAATATTCGGCTTAAATGTTGATATGCAATTACAATTTTAGCCCATGACACGTTTAACTTGAAGAATGAATGGACAACACAAAACCCAAACTTTATACAACAACTAGGGTTTGAATTTATGAAAACTTATGATTCTTTTTCTGTCAAAAATGAAAAAAAAAAAAAAAAAAAAAAAAGATCAACTTTAAGGTTTAAATATTATCTGGATTTTTCTAAGAATTTACAAAAGTTTGAGCGATAATCTAAAGGAAATGTATTAAAAAAAAAAAAAAGGACCTTTTAAGTTTTAAAAGATATTTAACATTAAGTGGGGTTTTTAAAAAAAAAAAAAAAACTGGAAATTGGTATCTCATAAGGGGAGTTCTAATAAACTGAAGGGGCTAAAATCCATAAGTTCTTGAAGTTTTAAAATCATATTGACCAACAGGGTTTTGTACTTAGAATGAGATTATCTCTGTTAGTAAGCCATGTTACGTTTTTGCATATTGGGCTATAGAACTGACCCAAACTCACCCATCCCGCCATAATATATTCACATTCCTCTGCAACTCACTTGGACCACCAAATGGTGCTACCGGTCCGTCTAATAACATTTTCGGAGCAGCCCAAAGCTTCGACTAAAAGTACAAGAGCTAAATTATTTATTATTTATTTTATGGCACAAATACATATTTACAAAACAATTCTAATTCCATATTAAAAACATTTGTTATGGTACAAATACTGAATGGAGTCACGGCGGTCTCGGAGAGAGTTAGAGATTAGTGGTTGAGAAAATTAGGAAATTGGGATTTAGGGTTTCTCGAATTGAAATTCGATTTATTTACATTTTGATATGATTTAGAAGGAAGAACAGTAAATTTCATATGCTCTTAATAATTTCAAAATTTGCCATATCTGTGTCAAGTTCGGGTAAGCTTGTGAGTCTAAGTATTGGAAAGCTCAAACTCAAATTGATTCAGCATTTTGTGAGCAATATGTGAATTTTATGAATATTATAAAGTATGTTAGCCTTATTTACTTTTGTTGGACACAATGGAAAAATGAATAAAATGAATATTTTAAAGTAAGAGAAGTGAATAAGAAGAGTGAGTAAGATTATATATATATCTTAGCATAAAATAATAATTATATTGGAAAACAAATTTAAGAATGATAAGTCCTAGAAGAAAACAAACTTATCCTCTTAATCAAATGTTAATAACATAATTATAATCTAATCACAGCAAGAATAATTTTTGTTATATCCTTTCGCTCTCTCCGTTCTTTCAACGCTTGAACAACAGTAAACTCCGAATCATGGCCCAAACGACTTCGTTTCTGCTACTCTCCTCACTTCACTCACACTCACCGTGCAGCAAACACCGCCTATCCGACAATCCCGGCGCTGACAACAGTGATTGCGCTGTATCCGGGGAACTAAAGCCGGTCCGAAGAGAGATTTACGGTGAAGGCCAAATCTATGACATCAGCCACCGTTATACGGAGGACATGCCATCCTGGGACAAGACGGAGGGGCTGGGCAGTTCTTATGGCTGCTGCTGCATTAAGAACGGCTCTCTCGCTAACAACTCGGAGATGAAGCTTCCGACGCACACTGGAACTCACGTGGATGCGCCTGGTCACGTGTTCGATCATTATTTTGATGCCGGCTTCGACGTTGATACTCTTGATTTGCACGTGTTAAACGGTGATTAATTAGTTGTTGGTTGAACACTGTGTTTTGTGATTTTGTTTTTGATTACTATGCGTTTGATAAGAGTACTATGTGCAGGCCTGCGCTCTTAGTTGACGTGCCAAGAGATAAGAAACATAACGGGTAGGTAGATTTTTTGCTTCTTTCTGCATTTTAAAAAAAAGTTTGGTTTGCTTCTCGTGTTGAAGGCTTTTTTTGAGCTATTGAAATGATGCTTGGTTAGTTTCAGTGACAAAGTTCAAATAAGTTTCCTTTTAATACGACAATAATTTGTGTGCTTATGTGCCTAAATTATGCATATTCACCCTGTTGCAGAACATATTTTTAAGCTGTTTAAAAATCACACAAACCCTCTGTCCAAACTAACTTATGCAACCAATGTGACATGGTGTGATTAGAGCAGTATAATTTGAAAATAAATGAATTAAATTAAGTAGATGATCTGGTAACAATGCATTAGTGCTCTATGAGTTTGCGTAGACACTTTGTATGTGTAACAGTACTCTTTGATAAATGATAAGAGTATTTCGTGTTCTATTCTTCTTTGATTCTTGCTAGTCTGTTATGAACAAATCCATTTTTGACAGCTGTAGTAATGGAGTCTTTACATATTCCGAGGGGAGTACGCCGTGTGCTTTTTAGAACGTTAAATACAGACAGGTAAATTTTTTATCAATTATATTTCCATTTATTTTGGACCATGTTAATTTTTAGTTATTGAGTATCTCCAAATGACTCTTTATATGACTCAAACTCTTTATTATAAAGAGTTTATCCATAAAAATAAGACTTCAATAGACTCTTTATTCTTTAAATATAAATTAAAGAGTGAGTTTGACTCTCCACATCTAGAGAGTCAAATTTCACTCTCTATCCTAATTTTAAACAATAAATTACAAGTTTTTATGTATTTTATTTATTATTTATCTCTCCTATTAAGTTTTTTTATTGAAAAAACATATTCTCTTTTCTAAAATTTAAAGAGTCCATTGGATTTGAATAAAAATTTTGTTCTTTATATTTAAAAATTAATGAAGATGCCCTTTATTTATATGAAAGATGCTCTTTATTTTAAAAAGCACCATTGGAAATGCAGTAAGAAATGGTTTTTGTGGTATTTTTACATGCATATGCTAATTAGGTACCTAAAACTTGCTTTTTACTGCTGCTTATAAAAAAACTTGCTTGACTCTGCTTTTTTTATTAATTTTTTAATTTTTTTTTTAAAAATGTTTTCTTTATTCTCTCTATCAACTATGTTGTCATGAAATGATTACAATTCCTTTGTTAACCAATAAGAGGTCTGCCAACATTATATGACCTTAAAAAGGTTTTGCCTAAACCTTATACTATTCATTTAAATTGTTACAAGGAGTGTGAAATATTGGTGAATCAGAACAATGTTTCTAATGCTAAGAAATTATATGTGAATTGCGAAGTAATGTTTAGTTCAATCTCAGGAAGCTAATGTTTAAAAAGGAGTTTGACACAAGCTATGTTGGATTTATGAAGGATGGAGCAAAATGGTTGGTGGAAAACACTGACATCAAGCTTGTTGGTGAGATATAGATTTTCTTCAATAGTTTGCAACTATATATCTAGGGAATACCTTCATATGCATTTCAATGCTGTTTCAGTGAATTGGAAACTGTTTTAAAAACCACTCTCGTATTTATATATGATTATGTATTATGAGTGTGTATTATCTGTTACTTGGTTTCTTACCAAAAGTTATTTGCAACTGAATTCTTGCATACATGCGCTCATTTTCTTGCATAAAAAGATACGTGAAACTGTTGTAGGATCTTTGCTCTGACAGCTTTAGCTCATGATTGGTAAATCTCTTTTTCTCTTCTTTTCTTTGGGGTAACATCCAATGGGTGTGTAGAAAAAAGAGTTAGGAAAAACTTTTATACTCAACCTTGGGCAGCACTATCCATTAGGAGCTATTACGGCAATTCTTTCATATGCTGATGGTCTGTCTCAATCATACCTTGATTCTATTACATTCAGATGTAACTTGTAAGTCAGGTGATCAGCTCCATTTGGTCCTAATTGTATGGAGTTGGTTTCACTCACCATGCATTGCCAAATTACTCTTTAACATCCTAATTCCTTTTAATTAATGACCATCACATTATTTGCTTTACTGACACCCGTATTCTCTTTAATATTGAGATGTCATTTGTATCACAGTCCAATCTTGTTTGGCATGACCCCAGTCCTTTTCGTACCATCTGTTCGTACCATTATGTTAGAATTAGCATAACCAATGGTGTTTGTTGTAAGTCAACTGACAATCTCAAGATTCTCAAGATGTTCTATTTTGATTCTTATATATCCTCATTGTTTGTGTGTATAACAAGTAGCTGCTGGGCATGATGCTTTGACTTGTTTCTACTAGGAAGGCATGTGAGTGAGTGGTTTATTTTGTTATTAAATTTCTACTGGAAAAGGTTTATAATTTTGCAAAATCATGGCCATGGCTGCTATCTTATTTTTCCTTCTGCTCATGAACCTCTTCATCTTCCAGAAATGTGAAGTTGAACCCTTGACTTCTTCTCAGTTGTGACTTGTGATGCATATGCAATTTTGTTACTTCTCATGTTTAAGCACTTTCGGCTTCTACTTTTCAGTTTATTACTACTTCAGATTACATATTACATTAATGGAATCTTGATAAATAATACATAACCTAGATGTGCTTTATGCTGATTTTCCTTTATGATTTTATGCTAACCCTTTAAATTTATTCTAAAGTGCAACCATTTCAGTCTATAGCATGTATTGTTGGAATTGGTGTGAGGAAAAACCCTGGAACCTCCCCTGTTTGTGTTATCTACATTTCAGTGATGTGCAAGGCTCAGAAACTTGTCTATTGTGAATTGTAGGAATTGATTACTTGTCTGTTGCTGCCTATGATGATCTACTTCCATCTCATTATGTCTTCCTGGAGGGCAGGGTAAGACATTCACTTTTGATGCTATAGACTTCTTTCTTTTACTTTTTTGAGACCATTTTGCTGTTTATATTTTAAACTATTTCTGTATCACATTCGAATTATTTATAGTTATAACTTATAAGATATAGTATTGGTTATAGCCCTTGAATTTGCTATTGTCTTTGTGCTATCATATAATGTTAATTTTTTTGCACCAAACTCCAACATGATGTAACTTGTGGTGTTCAATAGTTGGATTTATTTAGCCATGAATTACATATGTTGCTTTCATTTTGGTTAATTTGACCAATTTCATGCTGAGAATCTTGGATTAACTTTGTTCTGGTTACTGATGAAGACAATTGAACCCTAAAACTTGGTAAGAATGCATCTTTGGTAGGAAAACTTTCAACTTTGATTCCTAAAGACCTTAGAAACATTTTTTAAATATATGATTGAAAGATGAATTAGTGCCATCACAGACGTGGGCTACCGAACATTCTACAATTGTGAAAGAACACTGTTACTGACAAAACTTTCGATATATGATTTCCATTTTCCACTATTTCCATATTATATTATTCTATGATTTGAAGTTAATGTTTTAGAGCCACTTTCCGGATTCAAGGGGAAAAACTAGCATTAATGTTCATCAATCAACAATAATGCAAGTCTTCTTCAGGAAATCATTCTCGTGGAAGGCCTTAAACTTGATGGTGTGCCGGCAGGAATTTATTCTGTCCATTGCTTACATCTAAGGTTGCTTGGTGCAGAGGGATCACCAATCAGATGCATCCTCATTAAATGATAATCTTTTCCAGGTGAGTTTTCAAGCATTGTGATTCGTCTTAAATGCTTGATAGCCACGTTATCTGAAATTACTTTTACTATTCAACACAAACCCAGTGTTTCCTACCATTAACAGTCTTGTTTCTTTCTGCTTTGCTTGACCTCTCTATCTGCATGTAATGTGATGTGTATTGTGTTTGGAATGGAATAACTAAAATGACATTTTAATTAAATTGTGGCAGGAAGAATGACAGGATGAGGAGGCGTTGGATGGAATAAGTGGGTGTGAAAAATGGTTGTGTAATTGAGTGTAGATCATCTTTTTAAATGGGGAAGTAGAGTTTCGAATATAAATATATGTAGATAGGTTTATTATAATTAACTTACTAAACTTATTTGACATGCTCGTAGATTGTTGTAGGTGGCTTTAATTTGGTCACTAGTACATTAACTATTTATTGGCCATTTTACCATTATCTTCATATCAATGTTTGGCCAACTTCTAATTGCCTCTGGATTTTTATTTTTATTTTTCGTGAAACAAGGGGCATAAGCCCAACATAAAACAAGAGCCTAAGAATATGAAGAGTGAAGGCAGTGCAGAAGAAGTTTATTAGAGCCATTTCAATATTTTATTTTGGTGGGTTTGTCAATTCTCAGTAGCAAGAAGAAATAAGACAAGGGGTGTTGGGAAGAGAGAAGTTTCTAATTTGAGATCTTTTAAGAGAGGAGTTCTTACCTGATTATAGAAGAATATTTCTTTGGATGAGGAGATATTTTTAAGATTGATCTTTATTTAAATAGAACGTAAGATTGAAATTAATTGTGAAGTGGGTGTAAACAAGCCGACTCGAGCTAAGCTTTGGGCTAATCGAACTCGACTCGTTTGCTACAGTGTCGAGCTCGAGTTCGACATTGTAAATTCGAGTTCGAGCTTACCAAAAGACTCTTTACTTTTCCACATTTTCAATGAGCTTGAGCTCTTTGAGCCAAGTTTTGGCGAGCTTGAATTTGGATTGACACTATAGCTGAGCCAAGCTGAGCTTGAACTTTCATCGAGCCGATAGTGGCTCGGCTCGGCTCGGCTAACCCCACTAATTGTGATTAGTGGGTCATAACGTTGAAGACTAGTGATGGTTATTACATTATCTTCAATAGGGAAGATTAAAAGAAAAAAAAAATAAAAAAAAAATTAACAATTAGTTATGTATAGACAAGGAGGGTGAAAAGTATATTAAGATAAACATGTTAGAATGGCTATGTTATTATTCTGTTATGTAAGGCGCCTTCAATGATTCTAAGAAGAAATCTACATTATACACTGCAATGATAAGGGAAAAATCTTATCATAAAAATAAAAAAAGTCACAATTATGGAACCTTCGACTATATTTATCAATTTCTCACTCACTCTTAGATTAGGGATTCACTATATACACTCGTACAAGGTTGAAGTATAATCGTAAGATTTTTGAAAAGTATTATATAAGGTTTTTGAAGCTTTTCTTGGAGTAATTGATAATCTAGTGTAGTTTTAGAGCCTCGAGAGAATAGTTGAAANGGTGAAAAGTATATTAAGATAAACATGTTAGAATGGCTATGTTATTATTCTGTTATGTAAGGCGCCTTCAATGATTCTAAGAAGAAATCTACATTATACACTGCAATGATAAGGGAAAAATCTTATCATAAAAATAAAAAAAGTCACAATTATGGAACCTTCGACTATATTTATCAATTTCTCACTCACTCTTAGATTAGGGATTCACTATATACACTCGTACAAGGTTGAAGTATAATCGTAAGATTTTTGAAAAGTATTATATATGGTTTTTGAAGCTTTTCTTGGAGTAATTGATAATCTAGTGTAGTTTTAGAGCCTCGAGAGAATAGTTGAAACACATGTAAATTGGCTTGGATATCTTAGATCATCCTTAAAAAAAAAAAAAAAAAAAAAAAGGAAGATAATATAGGGTGGTAGAATATTTTAAAAAAATTTTGTGGGTGTCTTTTAGTTCAAACTGTCATAAACGGCCAAGTAGATAAACTGATAAAGTCCAATATAATACAAATGTTACTATCAACAATAAGCCCATTTACATTCAGTGGGTAGAGCGCAAGTTCTTAACCTTGCAGCCGTGGGTTTGACTTTTGAGGCTTTGAGCTACACGGTGAGCGTGAAATCCATTATTTTATGCCTTTTTGGTAGTTCGACTTCGTAAATTTTTTAATTTTTTTACAAATTACCAATTTATCCACTTAAATTATAAATTTTTGAATTTTTTTATTATTGTTGATACAAAAATTTGCACCAACTAGTGAGATCCGATCAACTTTATTGGGATCGGAATTGATGTATGCGTGATTACGAGTAATCAGCGATGGGTGAATGGTAATGCAAGAAAATAAATGACAAAGAGAAAATTTAAAGTGGTTAGGCGAAGTTAACGACTTATGTCCACTGTGTTTTGTTTATATGCTGTGAAAGCTTACAATGTAGTTTTTAATCTAGAATTCGTATCCCCCTCCTCATCGTTTTAGGGGATATATATACAAGATTTATATAAAGAAAAGAGCGAAAATAAAGGGATTACAATTGATTGGAAATGCGACTCCGATATTCTTGTGATTGGGCGCTATGATTGCGCAAAGATTGTTGTTAATTTGATCATTCCTGTAATATCTAGGATCTGAAGTTATATGGGAATCGATTAAATGATCATTTGGGTTGTCCGTGACTAGCTTGTGCTGGGTCAAGCTATGGCTCGATGAGCTTATCTTGGGTTGATCAATCATAGTCACCGAGGTCGTTCTAAGTTGAACTATATCCTCACGTCGGCCCGAGCTTGGCAGAAAAACCACGCATAACATCTACCCCTCAGTGTTCGATGCTCATTACGGGTTTTGAAGACTATCGCTTGATCTGATGCCTAGCTTGGCTTCAATAGTGAGTCTTTGAAAGCATGCTCGATCGAGCTTCCACGGCTGACTTTACGTCTGGTTGACGTTCTTCACACTTAGACATTATTACCTGCGCCACCTGTCAAAACTCAGAATATAAAAAGTCAGGGTATACATGTAATTTCCGCGTGGTTGTGTCGCATTAAATGCGCCAGCCTTTGTCAATTAAGGTACGTCGGGCGTGGTCAATGACAACTATTCACGGGCGAAATTGAGACGTCGTGCGGTGACGGTTATCATTTACGATGGTTCTTCGCACCTTGTCGATGGTCGACACATGGCCATGTCCAAGGGCTGAGATTGCTCAACGAATGAAGGGCTAGGATTGGTTGTGAGTCGATGGTCAAGATTGAACTTCGCCCTTTCGTCTTCCATGCAAAAATCACTATAAAAGGTGGCGAATATTCAGAACAGTCATTCTAAAAGTTCTTCCACCCTCTTCCTTTTCTTTGCCATCACACTTACGTCGTCGCGGTGGTCTTTCCTACGAGTTCTCAAAGCGGTTCTTTAATTCAGTAAGATTTCTTTCTCTTCCTTACTCATTTTTTTGACTTTTGTGTTAAAGGGTGGCTGTTGTAGTTGCCATATTAGGCATTTTGAGATTTTAGTAGGGTTTTTGGGGTGCGTTTCTAGCGGTCTCGGGTTTTAAAGGAGTTTAATCGCGATGGTCGCCGGTGTCTTGGGTAGGTCGCGTGACTTTGTCATGTTGCGCGAGTTATTTTGGGTGCCTGAGATGGAAGCAAATGTGGTATGGTCGCTGAGTTGTTCGAGCTCTAACACATGTTCGCTTCTTTTTTCAGGTACCCAGAGTCGAGCTATAACCATGTCCTCATCTAGCAGTCGCACAATAGATCGAATGTTCGATTCACTGGTTGGCTTGGCAGTATTAGGGGATGTGTCCCTCGAGATATCTGAAGAGTTCGTTGCTAGAAGCTCGGACCCCGATGCTGCGGGTTTGTCCGATTATGCTTCGATCCAACTGGCTCAATCCCTGCCGTCTCCAATTCACAGGCTATGGAAAGAGCTCCAATCCTTGATCACCCTTGGGGATCTTGAACACATCAAAGCGGCCTATGCGCCGCAGCTCAACCTGATGGCCTCGAGGGAACACTCTTGGAAGAACCTTGTAGCCGGATAGGTGGCGACTTCCGAGAGTCTCCTTAAGTGCGGGGTATCCATTCCCCCGCACCCTTTCATCGATAAAGTGTTGAGGAAATTCGACATCGCTCCTCTCCAACAAACGGCCAACTCCTACTTGATCATTACCGGGTATACATCGTGTACATGATCGCTGAGCTAGGCGAGCTGTCCGTCGAAGAGCTTGTACACCTATACAGGCTCAAAAAGCGGCAAGGCCAGTCATACTACCTTTCTAAGGTGAGGAAGGTACGTTTCAATGGGCTGATCGATGTCCCGAAGAAGGTCTCGCACTAGGACTCCCAATTCTTCTTTTACGAAGCTGGGACGAGCGGTGTCTTCGCTCTGAAAGTGAGTAAGACTTTGGTCGCTCGTGTACGTGAGGACAAATTTCAAACTTTGCTTCATTATTTAACCAAATTTCTTTTTATTGCAGTTAACGTTGAGTAGAACTATCTCCCTGCGATGAGCTTGCAAAGGCTGCATCGTTTCAGCGATCTTCTCGATAGTTCGTGCAACGTCCATGAGCTTCTTACGCTTTCTCATCTAAAGACGTATAGCTTTTGTAGGGACGAAGCCATATTGTTAGCGCTCTTGGAAAAAAGGCAAGTTGTTGCATGCTTGCGTTTGATTTCCTGCGCAAATTGATCGTTAACTTGTTTTCCTTTTTCCTCGCAGACATGTGGGGTGAAAAATCTAAGGGCTTTAAGAAGAAACAACAGCGTTGACGACTGCTTAGAAGGCGTTGGCTGCTTCGGTGACAAAACAGCCCGCGGATGTCATCGACACGAAGTGTGCTGGAGGCAAGCTGGCGGAGGGCCCAAGCACGAAGAAATCCACGACTGCCTCTAAGGCGGTTGGTGAGAAGAGCGCCACCAGGCACCCTAAGGGGCCAGCAAAAAAGATGTTTGAGCCAACTGTAGGCTCAAGAAAAGGTAAAGCACCCGAGCAGCACGATGGCTCGAGGAAGAACGCCACCAGGCTCCCTAAGGCTCGGGAAAAAGATGCGGGTGTGGTAGCTGCTCCACGGGGGAGTAGACCTGACCTGTCCAAGCCAAAGGGTGGGGGGACAGGTGGAGCGAACGAGGCTGAAGTTGACGCTTTGATCGACCAACCCTCTAACCATATCGGTGTTAGGGCTGCAGTGGCCAGAGATTGCATCACCCCACGGACATTCGAGGCTGTTAGGGACTCAACTCCCTCCCAGATATTGGCGTTAACCTGCAGCTATGCGACTAAGGTACTGATAGCTTGCTTCCCTTTTTTTTGAATGCTATTCTTGTTTCTTGCTCGCTTCTCACCTTTTCGTTTTTAGGCTGCCATGACAAGCCGACTGCTGTATGAAGAATGCGGCCAAACCTTGGAGGG